GTTCGCTTCGTCCTCTGATCTTCTCTCGCCTGCGTTACTAACCCCGCCCCTTTTTTTTTTCCTCCATAGGCTGTCCGAGTCACCATAAGGGCCACGGACGACAGCGTGCCGCCGGTGCTGCTGAAGCTCATGGAGGAGCAGCTGTCGCAGGGCGTGTCGACGCTGCCGGATCCGGTGGTGGCGCCTACGCCGAGGGATATCTCGGATGTGTTCAGCAGCATCATGGTCGTTTCGGATACCGACCGTATGAGCCGGATGCCGTCGTGATGCTGCAGATTCTCTGTTCTCTTTTTTTCTTCTTTTTTTTTTTCTGCGAGACATATAGTCGTGCCATGTGTGTTTTTGTGTTGTGCGCGCGCGCATTGAAGACCTAGGTGTTGCCTGCCTATTGACGGAGTACCTCTTCGTATCTTTCCCCTTTCTTATTGTGACTTGCTTGGTTTGGGCCGACTTATAGCTGTATTTGCTTGGCCCTGTTTGTTATTCCGGGGGGAAAAGACGACGAACGAAAGCGGGCAATCTTGACAGAGGAAGAATTATCACTTAATATGTACCTATCTGACTCACCAATTAGGTGGTGTAGGCCAACTAGCATCTGGGGTCGGAAATGGATGTTTTTTGACATGATTCTGCTTGGTTGGTGTTGGGGGTGCCGCGATGCTGGCTCGGAGCGTCACCAGATCGTTTGCTGTGCGCCTCGACGTCGAGGGCGGGTCTGGATAATGCAAGGGGAAAGAAATACACTGACCAGGACTGATCCGTTCACGACAAGGGGCCTGCTTGACCTTGTTCATGTAAATGTGCCGCTATCGACGGTTAACAGACGCATGTGCTCGCATTAGAGCGTTCATTGCTCGGTCAATGATGTTTCTACAACTCGTCCCTGTAACAAAGTAACGCCGGCTGGTTGAATGTAAAGGCCAGAAAAATCAACAGGCAGACCACCCAACACAACCAAAAAAAGACCCTGCACTTTTCGCTACTCCACAGACGCCACCACTAGCGCCGCGACCCCTTCCTCCTCGCTGCGCACCACGATCTTTGTCGTGACGCCCGACTTGGACGAGTAGGCCATCCGCACGCTGGCAACAACCCTGCCGCCGCCCACCGTCTTGCCTAGGAGCTTGAGCGTATGTGTCGTCTGGTTGATGGGCACATCCGTGCCTTCCAGAGGCTGTAGTGACAGGGCCTTGGCCAGCTGCTCCGTTGCCTCTGTGATCCCCCAAAGTCGGTTAGTATGCTGTACGTGGGGAGGGGGACACGGATGGCTACATGGGGACACGACCTACCTGCTATGCTCTTCATGCTGCCCAGCTGCAGCGTCTCCTCGGCCTCCTCGCCCGATGCGCCCACCTGCTCCCAGATGTGGTTGAAGTTGCTGGCAAATGCCGGCACCACGTAGTCGCTGCCCGACAGGTCGAACTCGGCCACCTCGTACTCGTCGTCGTACCCAGACTCCTCGGGCTCGTTCGTCGACGGGTCGATCTCCTTGGTGGTGAACTTGAGCGTGTTGGAGAAGGTGCTGATGGGCATCGAGCCCTCGCCCGAGGCCTTCTTGAACGCCACGTAGATCTTGCCCGGCTCGTCTGTCGGCAGCTTCTCGGCCTCGATGATGAACAGCTCCTCGAGCTCCTCCTCGTCCGAGGGCGTCGCCACGACCGACACGTTCTCCAGAACCGTCGCCGGAAGGGTGTTCTTGACCTCGAACTGCAGAACCACGTGCTCCTTGAAGATGTGCTTGACCACACTGACGACGTACTCGGTTTCGGCCTCGGTGAGCTCCACCACAGGCGACGACTTGAGCACGCCGCCAAACTCCTTCATCTCGGGGATCTGCACCAACTCCTCGGCGTACTTTTGCGCAGCCGCCGACGCCGACGCCGCCGCCTCGGCCCCTGTTGGGGCGGCCTTGGTCGGACCAACCTTGGGCGGCTTGAGCGAAGGAGTCGTGGCCGTGAGCTTCTTGGTCCGATCCTCGGCGTCGGCCTGTTCCCTGGTAACAACCGGGATGTTGGACATGTCGAAGGGCGTCGAAAAGGTCGACTTGTCGTCTGATGTGACGTACATGACGAGTTGGTGCTCAAAGTACGAGAGAGAGTACATGCTGTCATTCTTAACAAACTTCTCCGCCAGCTCGTCCTCCTCGTCCATGAGCCGCAGGTTCAGGGCGGCACGGTCCCGGACCTCGTCGTCGACATCGTCGAGGCAGCGCGTGAGCAGGACGTGCACGCTGCGCTTGACCTCGGGGTCCTTCTGGCCGACACCGAACTTGGCAAGCGCCGTGACGGCGGCGGCCCTGACGATCGCGTTCTCGAGAACGACGCGGTTGTAGATGTATCGGATGTACTTTGTCGGCTGTGACGTCTTTGGGCCCTCGAGTCCGAGCAGGTGCAGGATGCGGACGGCAAGCTTGGTGAACTCGCAATCCTCGATGAACTCGCACAGGTGGGCCAGCGCGTCCTCCTTGGAGTCGGGCACGAACTTGATCAGGTCGAACATGCTCTCCACCACAGCGCGCTTGAACTCGTAGCCGCCCTCGTCGCGGAGGATGCCGCTGAGGAAGGCGAGCATGCCGGCCTGCTTGCTCGGGAACTTGAGGCACAGCGTGCGGATGGCCTCGACTATGGTGATCTTGAACTCGTCTGTGATCTCCGACATGAAGCCCGTGATCTGCTTCATCAGCCTGTCCACGCTAGCCTCGTTACCCGTCTTGAGCAGCGTCGTGATGGCGAAGGTGGCGATGGAGCGGTTGCTGTTGGAGATGAGGAGCTCGATGTCGGGATTGCACACGTTGACGGCCTGGGGCTTGAAGGTGGCAAAGTTGTGGAGGATCCGGAGGGCGGCGAACTTGGTGACGGCGCGCGGCGACGTGAGGAAGAGCTGGAGCACGTGGACGGCCTGGGAGACCTCGGCGTCGGTCACGTCGCGCATGTCGCAGATGGCCTTGGCGGCCTCGAAGTTGACCATCTCGCTCTTGTGCCTCAGCCAGCCGTCGAGCAGCTGCATCATGGGCTTCCGCAGCTGTTGGTCCTCCTCGGCGAGCTGGGCGGCCAGGCGGACCAGCATGACGATGGCGGCAGGGTTCTTAACCGCGCCCGGAGCGCCAAACTGCTGCACCATCTTGACCAGGGCCATGCGGTCGTGCATACGCATCTGGTACAGCAGGCCGATGGCGTGATATTGCGTCATTGTCGAGTTGTTGACGGGCAGGCTGGCCGACGAGGACGAGAAGCCGAGCGAGAAGCCGCCCGAGGACTTGGAGCTGGCGGCCGCTTCCTGCGTTTCGCTCTGCCACCGCCTGACGACATCCCTAGCGATAGGCAGGAGATGGTAGGAGGAAACAAGCGCGGCCGAAGCGACGGAAGGGTTCTTGTCCACGATGGCCGTCTTCATAACACGCTCAATCGATTGTACCGTCGTCGCCTAGAACACGGAGCCCAACGTTAGCAACCAGTCCTCCAGATGCAGGAGCGAGGTGACACCCACATCGATAATGCGGCAAAGGGCACGAATGGCGTTGGGCCTGAAGATGACATCGGTGCTGCCGCCCGTGTCCTTCATGATGGTACTGGTAACCATGATGATATCCTCGGCCGAATCGGCCAGCTCCTTGATAACAAGGTGGACCATCTGGCGGAGGCTAGCATCTTTGTTCTGGAACAGCTTGGAGATGCCGAAGAAGAGGGTGGTCGCTTCGTTGGTCGGGAACTTCTCGCCCGTGTACAGGAGGAGGGCGATCTTGGTTAGGAGGATGCGGCACTGCCGCGGCTGGATGGGCGAGTTATTGAAGAGCCGGGCTGCGCGAGGAGCGTCATGTTAGCCTGTGTATGCAACCAGAAGCTGTCCAGGGGTCATTGCTTGGAGGCGGGTTGGGTTGTGCGCGGTGTGGACGGGGATGGATATTCTGCGCGGCGGCGGGCGTGCTCACCCTCCTGGAAGACCTGGGTCCGGTCAACCTTGACCAGACCGTTGTCGGCATCTTCGTCTTTCTTGCCGTAGTTCATGGCGGGCAGTAGTCGAACAACGGCTCAGGAGTGGTTGTGGAGCAAGCTACAATACGTGGTGATATCCAGACTGAACTGCGACGTAGTCAATTCCCCCCCACACCATCATCCACAAGCCACAAGCCACAAACCACAAGCTCACACGAGCCTCAAGCCACAGGGTAGAGCCATCCCATCGGGGCTAGCGTATCACGTGACTGCACGGACACTTTCTAATCTAAATGACCGACGCATGCCAGTGGGGAAGCTCAAGTCAAAGCAAGATCATAAACTCAGCCATGCCAATCCACCGCTTCCTCTGGTCTCCCAATCGCAAGACCCCGAACCCCTCCCTTATTCGGATCCCAGCACCAACTGAAAAAAAAATCTGAACCGCAAAAACGGGGCTCTCATTTCAAAGTCAATTAACACCACCAAAAAAAAAAAACAATAACTATAATTTATTTGCAAAGCAATGCGCAGTCATTTTACCTTCGCTTTTTATGTTTGTCGAAAAAATTCGTGCTGTTTTGGGCGTATTATGGTGCTTTGGTATGTTGCAATTGAATTGATTGAGTTTGTTTTGATCTTTTTTTGCTATAGAGTTTGGGTGGGGAAAAGCATTTTGCGGTTTCGGA